GGTCACCTGCGTTTTGAAAAACGTGTGCGCCAAATCGAGGTATTCAGGGGAGGTAGTGTCTGGACTTTCCACCGTGGTTGCACCAACGGAAACAGCTAGACACCTACCCTGACACTCTCGCGACCACCCCGTGAGAACCCTCTGAGGCCATGAAAAGATGGGGTTGTGTAGTGCTAACCAGGGAAGACCCAATACAACAGGGAAATCAGGAGACTCAATAAGAAAAAAGGTGATTTGCTCTCTATGGGTCTCTTGCATAACCATTGTGACTGGTGCTGTATATTCCCTAACGAACCCTGACCCTAATGGTCGACTGTCAAGTGCTTTGATGGGCAGTGTAATGGATAGGGGAACCAACGGAATACCTATCCATAAAGTTCCAAGCTGTGCCTGAATCGACCAACGCCTTACACTGGGACACTACTGTATAATCAGGAAAGGTGACTTGTATGGTGCAGTGTGCAGCAGAGGGCTCTGAACGAGTGTGGGTTTGCGCTACTTGGGGTGACGTGAGAGTGTCCTGCCTGCCGCCTCCAGACCCGGAAGAACCCTGATGACAGCGTGCAGTAGAATGTCTTCTCCTGCCACAAGCGTGACACTGGAGCTGTTGTCTTCCGTTCTCCCGGATCGCTGCACCACCCAGCTCCATCTGAACTGAATCCGGGTTGAAGGGGGGTGAAACGGGCAGGCCACTTCCAGAACGTCCTCTTGCAGCTAGCAAGTTGTCCAACCGGATGGCCATGTCCACCAGCTGGTCGAAAGTCAATATGGCATCCCGGCAGGCTAGCTCCCTTCGGACGTCCTCTCACAGGCTGCACCGGAATCTGTCGATGAGGGCCCGCTCGTTCCACCTGGACCCAACTGCTAGAGTACGAAACTCCAGGGCAAGTCCTGCGCGGTCCTTGTCCCCTGGCTCAGTTGTCCAACGCGGCTCCTCCTTCACTCCAGACCGCGTTGGCCCACTCCAGGGCTTTCCCCGAGAGGCAGGAGACGAGGACGGACACCTTCTCCCGCTCCGATGGAGCCGGGCTAATGGTTGAGAAGTAGAGGTCCAGCTGCAGGAGGAATCCTTGGCAGCGGGCAGCTGTCCCATCAAAATCCCTCGGTCGTGATAGATGAATCCCTCTGGGTGCTGGGGTGTGGGTGGCTGGATCCGGTCAATCAGATGGTCCCGAAGGGTTGGGTCCTCTCCTCTCCAGGCGTTGGACGACCTGGAGAACCCGATCCATCACTTCTCCCAAGCTGGCTAGCATGGTAGAATGCTCCCCGATCCGCGCCACTACTCCAGGCATGTTCTCTTCTCCTGCTGACTCCATGTCTAGGTGTGTGATTCTGTGGTGGGTGATTTTGAAGTCAGGCGCAGGAGAGTAAATCACAGAATAAAAGGTTTATTTTCCGAAAACACTGCAATGGGTCAAACACTCCAGTGCGGAAATCAGGCGCACTGGAAACAACAAGGCACACAGGTGAAATATCCCGGCGATACAAAATACAAGGAGCTCCACCGAGCTAATCTAACCTCCACAATAAACAATCACAGACAAAGACAAGGGGGCAGAGGGAACACTTATACAGGTACTGATGAGGGGATATGATCCAGGTGTGTGTAATAAACAAGACAAAACTAATGAAATGATGAGATGAGGAGCAGCAGTGGCTAGAAGGCCGGTGATGACGAACGCCGAAGCCTGCCCGAACAAGGAGAGGAGAGCGCTTCGGAGGAAGTTGTTACAGGCTGGTGTGAGACCGTGGTAAATTGCACAATGTAAATGGGACACTATTTTCATGTAGCACAACTTTTGGTTGTCTCATTAAAGGTGCAATATGTAGATATTGCTCCACCAATTGCTGGTTGCTAAAATTCTAATTGTTCGCCAATTTCAGTTGTTGTAATAAAACAAGAAATGTATAGCGTAGAGAATCATTGTACCATCTAAACCGCTGTGAAATATATTTTCAATAACCAAGAATATTGTATTTTCAGCTGTTTGAAGCTGGTGTACAAAACTGAAAGTAAAATACGCAAAAACTAAACTTTTGAACGAGAAGCATAGAGATAGCATACATAGAACGGATCTGCGCTTACACTTCTATGTGCATTTGGTCGGGTCGCCCCAAAAGTTACATATTGCAGCTTTAAATGCCTTCAATATTTGTATATGAATTTCTAAAATGTATAGTTGGCTTGAGGTTAAGTCATTCTTGGATCATCGTGCTCTAGCGACTCCTTGTGGTGGCCCGGACGCCTGCAAGCCGACTTCGGTCATCAGTTGGATAGCGTTTCCTTTGACACATTGGTGTAGTTGGCTTCTGGGTTAAGTGAGCAGTGTGTTAAGAAGCGGCTTGGCAGGTCATGTTTCGCCTCTCCCGAGTCCATTGTGGAGTTGCAGTGATGATACAACATCGTAACTACCAATTGGATATATCATGAAATTGGGAGAATAAAAAATATATTTTAACCCACCCATGACATACAATTTTTTCTTATCATCTCGCAAATCTCAGTTTTGGACGAGACTGACTTCATGACCAAAATTGTCACAGGCCATTTTCAAAAAGAGAAGTTGCTTTTTAGGGGCAGTCGCTCTTTAATGTCATAATAGTTGACAAAATGTCCATTAATACCTTCTGGCTAAAGAAGTCCAAATTGAATGATTTCTGGACATGTATTGTTTGTTTCAATCTACATTTTGCTACACATTCTTACTGTATACTCAGATTCAGCATCAGCATTTAATTCATGTTTTAGGTTCACATTCTATTTATTCAAATTCCTCGTTATCACGTTTTCAAATGAAACTGACCATGTAACTTTAATTAGTTTTATAATCTGATTAGCCCAAAAAACACTCCTCATTGTGTGTTGTCCAGTAGCTTGATTGCTCCATTTAATGTGTGTGAAAGTGAATGGGAGCCAACCTACCGAGTCTACAGCAGGCTGGTTTGATTAGTGAGCTATGTAATGATCTGTGGAAGCCATGCCAAATTAACAATGCAATGCTGTTAATGAGCTTCCATTAGCCCAATGCTGTAATTTACAACATCCACCTGGCCTCTGTCTCTCTGTAGGGGGGCTAAACCACAGGGACAGACAGACTCACTCACAAGATACACTGTGACTAACATCATGGATATTTCCTCATTGAATTGGAAGCAATCGTCCTGTGAGGGTAAATAATTATGATTTGGTCCCGGAATGAATCTGGCAAAGTAGTCTTTTTAGTGGTACTAAATGTGATGTATTTAATACCAGTGTTCTGGTTGGATCTCTATTGATTTTGGCTTGAGGACTTTAACGGCACATTGTAGATGTTTCTCTTGGCTGCTTTAGATGTTTTCTCAGATACCTCAGGGATTTGTTACAAATGAAAGTAGTCCAATGGAACTAAAGCGAAATAAAGGATTATTTTATTTAATTTGCAGCACCGGTGTAATCAAAAGAAAAAAATAATTGAAAAAAGATTAGAAGACAGTAAAATACAGATGACAGTTTGGTGAATAAAATGCTGTTTCGTATCAGTGTTTTTTTTCTTAAACTTATCACATTCAGACCATTCTATCAAATACGTCAACACATTTCTCTGAAAACATATCTTATTTCCCTCTCACAACCAACTTTGATCCAAAGAGCGAGAACGAGTTAATTCAAAAAGAATTTGGCCTCTCCTTTTCTCTATCTATCTCTCTCTCTCTCTCTCTCTCTCTCTCTCTCTCTCTCTCTCTCTCTCTCTCTCCTCCATTCTCTCCACTGCTCGTTTCATGGCTGATCTTTTATCTATCCCTTTATCCCAGCACTCCTGTCAGGATGTTATCTCTTTCTCAAATTTACATTTTAATTACAAGGCCTGCTGAACTCAGGAAAATCAATATGGCCACCATTGGCAGCCCCATTCTGTGTCTCCCTGCCGCTAGGCCTCTCTATTTCCTTTTATTGATTTATCTCTTTAACACCTGCAATTTTATTGCTTCAGACAAATAGCTACCATTTTGGTCAATTTGAACAGAAAAAGAAAGGATTTGGTAGTATTTCACAATTCCTCAGATGGGGTCTTTGCAGGGAACGATGCAATAATTCAGAGGGATGGAGGGCTCTTGGATTAACCCAGGGATATGCCAAGGAAGGAAAGAGCTCTCTCTGAGGAGAAAACATTTGACATTTTACTTGTGCCTCTGACCAACATTACATTCTCTTTATTGCCCTCTTTTGTTCCTGGGGAGGGGGGTGTATTATTTTAGGAACTACATTTGCGTCATTAATGTTTCATAATACCAAAGGATTTTCTAATGTATCTGGTCTGTTACTTTTATCTGCCTACACTGATATTATACGTGGTGGAGAGGAGAGGAGATAAAGATGAGGTTAGATGCTCACATACAGTACATAGCTATCAGGCAATTCCCCTTTGTCCGTTGTGACGTAAAAACTGCTCTTTAATCCTTTTAATTTATTTGTTTTAATAAGTTTATGTTGTCCTGGCGTGGGGCTGGGGCAGGTGTTGGCTTAGAACGGAGCTGTGATCTCTCTTCCAGCCTTAAGCTCTGTCTGACCCCCATAGAGGCCTTCTACAGACCCTCCCTGCCCACCCAGGAGGCTAACGCACTGTGGCCGAGCCACTCCACTCCACCCTGCCCTGGCCTTCACTTCATAACTGTGTTAGCATCACCTACAGCAGGGGTGGGCAAAATCTTGAGGCTCGAGGGCCACATCGGGGAAGGCCACACATAATTGTATTACTACCGATTTGTTCTAGGAGAGGCTGTGGATGTAGGACTACCATTTACAATATAAGTGTGTTTAAGAGGATAGACAGATGTTTTCCAAAAGGCTAGGAAAATAAATAGCTGGCCCACAGACACTCTGAGCAGTGAGCACACAAAACTGAAGCAGTAGAATGTGCTAGATAAATCTGTGCATAAGTCTATGGAAGTCCTTGAATATGTATAACCTCAAATAACGTAATATACAACCTATTTAACCTACTCTGCTGGTTATTCCAGGTTTGGAGACGGCCCCCTCTACCTCTACCTCTGTGGCCAGTAAGAAACCAGTCCATTCTCTAGTGAAGCATCCTGCACCAGCAGCCTCTCACACCCTCTCCAGGCCTAGGAAAAGAGCCACTGATAAGGAACAGGACCCCACCTGTGCAGCCGCCACACTCCGCCTCTTTAAGCAGCGCCAACCCCACGCACCTAGCTCCAGGTGACCCCTCTCTGCTTCACTTAATAACTTTATATGTTTATAAGATCATGTATGTTTACAACATATATTGCACTATCCCTTCTAGTTCAACTCCATTGTATTGTTGACATGAATTGGGATTTGGGACTGCTACTTGGAAATATTTGGTGTCATGGCCAAAGAGAAGAACCACAGCCTCAACTACTTGTAACTGCCTGTTGTTTTCCATCTCTCTCTTTAGCTCTGCAGCAGGAGGTAGTACGGACCCCACGGACCAGGCTAGTGACTCCAGTGAAGAGAGGGAGAAAGCTCCAATCATCCCCTTCGGTCTGGACCTCTATTACTGGGGAGAGGAGCAACCCACCGCAGGCAAAATCATCAAATACATACAGCCTCACACCACCCTCAATGACTAGCATATTTTATTAGAGTATACCTTGAAATGGGCAACTGGGACGTCTCGGGTTCAACTACTGCACAGAACTTAACTTTTCACAAAGTTTTTATTGGCATTGATATAGCACCAGAGCACTATTGTCTGTTCTGAGGCATTGTAAATCTCTGTTATTAGTTTTTAAATGTAAAGATTATGAGTTATGAAAACAGACTCTCCCATAATAATTCAACTAAATTTTCAGCTATTAGCTATAAAATTGCTACAGATGAATGTTAATAAAGAACAGGTCAGTGCAAATGGAACGTTCCTCACACCTCTCCCTCTATCCTGGTGTCTAGGAATAGCTCTCAGCACCAGTTCTGGGTTCCCAACTAGATAAAGGAGGAGTTGGAGAATGAGGAGTTCGCCGTCCAGATGAAGTCCAGGTACACTATATATACAAAAGTATGCAGACATCCCTTCAAATGAGTGGATTCGGCTATTTCAGCCACAACTGTTGCTGACAGGTGTATAAAATCGAGCACACCGCCATGCAATCTCCATAGACAAACATTGGCAGTAGAATGGCCTTACTGAAGAGCTCAGTGACTTTCAACGTGGCACCGTCATAGGATGCCACCTTTCCAACAAGTCAGTTAGTCAAATTTCTGCCCTGCTAGAGCTGCTATTGGGAAGTGGAAACGTCTAGGAGCAACAACGGCTCAGCCGCGAAGTGGTAGGCCACACAAGCTCACAGAACGGGACCATCGAGTGCTGAAGCTCGTAGCGTGTAAAAATCACCTGTCCTTTTTTGCAACACTCACTACCAAGTTCCAAACTGCCTATGGAAGCAATGTCAGCACAATAACTGTTCGTCTGGAGCTTCATGAAATAGGTTTCCATTGCCGAGCAGCCGCACACAAGCCTTAGATCACCATGCGCAATGCCAAGCGTCGGCTGGTGAGGTGTATAGCGCGCTGCCATTGGACTCTGGAGCAGTGGAAATGCATTCTCTGGAGTGATGAATCACGCTTCACCATCTGGCAGTCAGGCGGACGAATCTGGCTTTGGCGGATGCCAGGAGAACGCTACCTCCCCGAATGCATAGTGTCAACTGTAAAGTTTGGTGGAGGAGGAATAATGGTCTGGGGCTGTTTTTCATGTATCGGGCTAGGCCCCTTAGTTCCAGTGAAGGGAAATCTTAATGCTACTGCATGCAATGACATTCTAGACAATTCTGTGCTTCCAACTTTGTAGCAACAGTTTGGGGAAAGCCCTTTCCTGTTTCAGCATGACAATGCCCCCGTGCTCAAAGCGAGGTACATACAGAAATGTTTTGTCGAGATCGGTGTGGAAGAACTTGACTGGCCTGCACAGAGCCCTGACCTCAACCCCATCGAACACCTTTGGGATGAATTGGAACGCTGACTGCGAGCCAGGTCTAATCTCCCAACATCAGTGCCCGACCTCACTAATGCTCTTGTGGCTGAATGGAAGCAAGTCCCTGCAGCAATGTTCCAACATCTAGTGGAAAGCATTCCCAGAAGAGTGGAGGCTGTAATAGCAGCAAAGGGGGGACCAACTCCATATTAATTCCCATGATTTTGGAATGAGATGTTCGACGAGCAGGTGTCCACATGGTTTTGGTCATGTAGTGTACATCACATTCGCTGGCCGCTTCCAGCCTGTCAAGCACAGGTGCAAAGCCCCCATGCCCAATGGAGCCCTCTGTGAAGGCCAGGACCGAGTCAAAGTGAGCAAGATGAGTTTTTGGTGAAGCATTACAACTGACATGGTAATTTCAATTTTGTATATATTTGTTGAGATTCTAAAGAACACATAATGAATGTTACTTTTAGTTACTGGTAAGTGAGGCTTTGCAGAATTAGAGTGAAAGTGGAGTGTAGAGGATTGTTGTTGTTGATGATGCTGAAAATGTTGTGTGTCATCACACGAGACGATCTGGGAAAACCCACCAACCCAGAGGACACTGTGCGCCGGGAGAAAGAGGAGAGGAAACTTAGAGAGGAGCAGCCTGGTGAGGGACATAGGAGTGGTCCTATTAGATCCCTTTCCTTTTAAAAATTCCAAAAATATCAAGTAACTGCAACTGAAAAAAAGTAATTGTATAATTCTCTAGCTCACAGCAGTCAGTAATATGGCACTAGTCATTGGCAACATGCTAAATATTTTGATTGTGTTGATAGGTTCCCTTCAATAAAGTTATTACCAATAGCTGCCCTATGCAGTAGCAGCCCTCTCTGGTCTAGTCTGTGATAAAGAAGGAGAGCCAGAGACAATGGAAACACTTCCTTCCTCTGACTCCCCCAGTTTTCTCCCTCGGAACTCTCCATCACTCCCAGTCCCATCCCGTCACGCAAAGGAGAGGAGCAAGACAGCACCACAGCGCCAGAGTCAGGGGACCGGGGGGGGGGTGGGCCTTTTTGGTTCAGTAAAAGATGAACTGATGGAATCACAGGCTTCATCAATAGCCCTGATAATAGGTTGGGCTGCTGTGTCTGGCTCTGGGCTCTGGCTCTCTCTTTCTCTCTCCCTCTCCTGGAGGCCGCGCTAAAAGCCAATTAAGCGTGTGTTGGCTGCTGCCAGCGGGGCGTCGGATGTGCTTTCTCTGCCTGCAGTCACTTGTTAACAAACAGGTATCAGGGCCAGCTGACTCGGGGCGGCCGCTGGCCACTCGCTTGTGAAATAGCATCTTTTGTAACTAACTACGCTATTGATCCCCTACTCCATCAGCCCTGCAGACCCATCCCATCCAGGCACTGCCACACAGTGTGTCTCTGCCTCTCTGAGCTCAGCACAGCAGCAGGCCCTCCCACTGGTCCGCCAAGCCACCCGCCAGGCACCAACTGTATGAGGACCTGCAGAGGTCCATCAATCCTCTCACTGCCTGCCTGGTCACTCCACTCGCTCTCCTTGAGCACTATTGATTTTTGCTCAAACGCCCTCAAATAGTTTCTTAGTGTGGCCCCACACACTCATAGGTTGTATTTTATATTCTATAGTAACCGATTTATGGGTCTCTGACTGTTGCCAGTCTGAAAGAGAAGTAGACCCTGGCTTGTAGACATTGCAGCACTTTTATCTATCGATGGCAACTCTATTCTTAATTTTAACTCCATTGTCTACCCATTCCAAACTCTTAAAACAGGATTGGTCAGGCTGCCATAGATTATCAAGTTAACACTGTTTACAATTGCATGTTGAAGAAGACTTCGATGTCTGAGAGAATGAGTGACAGTTCATGATCCATCTTTGTACATTAAGATTTTAATTAGAATTCCCAATTATAGTCTTGACATTTAGTTAATTTGCTATGTGGCTCGTACTTAATTTAGCAAAAGCTGGAATATTTTATTAAATGATACTCCAGGCTTGTATTGATGATGTATTTCAATACAGTTATTATAGCAGCTATTTTTCACACTCTAAAACCACCAGGTTATCCCGCTGAAATTACATTTACATCAGATGAATAATTAATTATCCACTTTAGTTATGGTTAAAAAACCACAGTCTCTAACTGTTTATGTTTTGTGTGTAATAACGGTAGTGTACGCGTATGGTACCTCTACCGCCCGTAGGCCCAGGCCGGGACCATGCTCCTGAGGCTCTGTCTATATGTAGTGTCAGTCCAGGCTCCCAGCTGCCTTTGTGGTGGTTGGTCTGTATGGTGTGTCTGTGTGGCCTGTCCCTGGCGGACAGGCGGGTGGATGGGCACAGCTGGAGTGGAATCGAGGCTGTTGACAGAGAAAAGGCCCCTGCTGCAGGGGCTTCAGACAGCTTAACTTAATAAGGGCTCTCTCCTCTCATCCTGGGGATGGGAACGAAAGCACACAAAAGGCAGGACTTAACCACAGAGGGATCACAGGGCTCATGTAATAGGGGGCTTTCACCATCCCAACCCGACCCTGCCTGCCACCCCAGGGGAGATGAACACTCCCCCACCCCAAATTAATTTGTAACTAAAATTGGTGCCCCTCTTTTACAGGCTTTCACAAAATGTCACTCTCAGGGGTGATTGAGGAGAGCCCTAATACAGGACCCAAAATAGCAACAAAAAAATCAATTATTTTCTCGTTTGTTGCCGTTATGAGGCTGAGTTGATGGTGCAGTTAACCTATTCCATCAAGGTTAGCCGTAGCCTTGGAGTGGGCCATCACAGCCATGATTAATCCCCCATACCATCACCATCCTCCTGTAGGACCTTGAAACACATACTGTCTGTCTGGGCCCTGGGCTGGCTGCATGTCTCTGAAACCGTCTCTTACAGCCTATGTTGTCTCTATGAGGCATTTTACGTTAGACCTTTATTTAAAACCATAATCGAGTATTTGTATTAGGTGGTCTCAAAAATATAAATGTTTTATTGCCACATACACTGGATAGGTGCAATGAAATGTGTTGTTTTACAGGGTCAACCATAGCAGCACGACACCCCTGGAGCAAATTAGGGTTAAGTGCCTTGCTCAAGGGGTATTCCAAGTAGCGGGTATTCGACCCAGCGACCTTTCGGTTACTGGCCCACACTCTAACCGCTAAGGTACCTGCTGCTCTGTATTTGAATGTGTCCTGTATTTGAATGTTTGGACATGCTCTTCTTCTGGTCCATCCAAGTGGTTGAAGAAATGGAGGTTTATGTCATCTTGAGTGTCTACAGTATGTGATTGGATACACACGATCATGTTTAGGGGCTCTATTCAATATGTATCACTGAAGCTTTACACCGGAAATCCATTTAGCACGTTGGGGGGGGTGGGGGGGGGTTGGGGGGGGGGGGGGGTGATGAAACAACTGAGCCCTATTAATTTTCAATGAAGGGAAGCGAAGTGGGCGGGGACCGTTGGACTTTGCAAGCTTTGTTGAGGGAGTGTGAACAGGGCGGGACCAAAGTTGGGGAAAGCTGAACTTTTGTTGTGCACTCCGTGACATTGCGTTGCTATTGGCCAATCGAAGCTCACTATAGTTTCCAGCCCCTACTGGATTGACTGGTGATACCACCTAGTACTACCTAGCCTGCTTGCTAGCACCAAGATGAGGGTGAAGGTAGTGTGGCTATCCAAAATTACGCGTTCAAAGGATCTCAGTTGTTACAGATTGCATGCTAGAAATGTGAAGGTAATTTCCAATTGAGCCGAAATATGCAGCCTTTACCGTGAATGCAGTCTACCGCCAACGCGGGACCCATAGCCTTTTAATTTCAATAACGCTGTAAAGCTGAATACTGTAATACTGATTGAATAGAGCCCTGAGTCTAGTAATGGTTTATTTTTGTACGTCTTTTTTTTTGGGGGGGGGGGGGGGGGGGGGGGGGGGGGGGCTGGCGGGACCCTGAGCTGATGAGGGACATAGAGTTTACCACTGGGGAGGACCTGGGGTCCTCCAAAACCTTTGGGAAGGGCAAGAAAGGCAAGGGGAAGGGCAAGAAGAAGAAGTACCCCAACCTCAGTGATCTCAAGAAGAGTGTCAACATTTCACGCTCCAGACTAGAGAGGAAGGTTATCAACCCGTAAGTAGGCTACTCACTCAGCAACAAGTGGCTGTACCTTCTATGTAGCCCAGGAGGTGCAGAGAGTACAAGTCAACCCCAACACAATGGATACATGGCCTTAAAGTCACTAGTCGTTGGTGTATTGATGTTGTGATAGATGTATTATTAAAAATATATACTGTAACCTTGTTGCACTTGGCTTAATCATCCCATGTAACTTGAGAGGATTAATGATTATTCAAAACCCACCTAGACACTTACTGTTGGATAAACAGTGTTTATTATAAAACATAACCATTAATAAACATATGTAATTCTAAACCTTTCATACTTTATTTTTCAGGAGCTCCATGAGGCAAGTGACAGATACTGTCTGTACTGGTGGAAATAACTCAGGAAACCTTTTCAAGATTCACACACAGACTTATCGGCCATTTAATTTACATGTAATAAGACAATGTTGAATTGCATGCTTTCTGATTTGTAAAACAAATCAAAACTGTTTTGATTAGTTTTTATAAAATAATTTGTCAAATAATGTTATTTATTGATTTATGTGTAACATGAGGAAATATGTGATGCCAATCTTTGTCACCATCTATTTACACTTGATGTATCGTTGTGATTTTCAATGCCATAACTCTCAGAACTCTTTTTTACTGATTTTTACACTGCAACTCTATTTTCCAGTATCTCTTTTGTAATTATCACAAACAACCAGTGCTTAATATATGAATCTGGAAGTGGTAACAGAAGTTCAAACCGTTGTGGATGACCAGCAGCTTTTACAAATGTTGCCTACCCATACACTCCTTTGTTTATGAGTTTGAAAGCACTATAACCTTTAGGGGTTTATAGGAAATGATATAGGTTGCCAATAGCTACCCTGTGCAGCAGCCCTCAGTGGTCTAGAGCCTGTGGTATAGAGGACAGCCTGCGAATCAATATGTTTTTAAATAATGCTTTTTTCCGCTGATGTTGTGTAGACTATACATATGTTGATAATTAGTGAGTGTGCTTGTTTTGTTGGCTTAGTACATGTTGATTGCAAGGAGGGGAATCTTCAGGCGCTGTTGTTGAGCTGTGTTTAGGTTAATTGTGTACCCAGGCACCAATTGGGCAGATGTTATTAAAAAATAAACGTTGCACCAGGGTAGGCTACTGTCTACTGGTCATTGGGAGCACATTAAACGAATCGCTTGCACATAAACTGTCATGTTCTTTAATATTGAAACCTCATTAAACAAGAGTTTCCTTCATTCAGTCCACTGTGCAATATTATTCGATAAGCATACTCCCCAACTTGAGTATTTTCTCCCCCTATTAGAGCCTATGTCACATCGAATTTGCTTGCATTGTTTTTAACATTACATCTAAAAATCTATCCCCCCAAAATAAAATAAGCTAGCTCCCTAGATGTCAGTGGAAGAGTAGCCCAGGGATTCAACATGCTTCTGGAATTTCATATATTTCTATGACTGGGGCAGTGGCTGCTTGAGAGTCAAATATTTTGTTAAAATGATCTATTTAGCTTAATTATCATAATAACCAAAAAATGCATAAATATTGTTTAACTCTTTTCAATGTTTTGTTACTCAAATCAAGCACTTGCCTAGTTCACCATGTAGGCCTATGTCAATCAGTTAATTGGCATGTTGTTATTATTAAATTATATCTTGCAATAGGCCTACCATTCAACATAATAATTACACTATTGCCTATATGATACCATTCAAACGAAAGTAAGGCCTAGATTCAATCAGATCAAGCGTTAACGAGCGATAGCCGACACCCACATATAGCTGATGCTTTGGCGGTGTTGGAGGAGGAACTGTGTTGGATCTGTCAAATCGATGAGCAGCTGATCTTGTGATCATTGTCAGGAAGCAATTAGAAATAATGAGGCTCAAATTAAAAATCATTAAACAAAATAAGGAGGATTTTTATCAGCCTCATCAAGGTGTGCTTCTCACGTTGGGATTTATCTTAATGCAACTCTGTGAAGCCAATGGCAATGTCCGCTTTAGGTATAGGCCTAATGCCGGGAGCCGCTTTTGGATTTCACAGCTCTAACAGCAGTTCCACCTCTGACATCAGAGTCAAAACATCAGCTGTGTGGATGTCGGCTAAAGCGGATCTGGACCTGGTTTCCCCATACATCTTTCCCCACAATGGGGAAGATGTAACACGCGTTTCCCAAACACAACAGAGAGAGAAAGGTCGCTAAGTACATTGTTGGAGCATGTGTCATGTATCAATACTGATATGATTGAAAGAAAGAAAGAAAGAAAGAAAGAAAGAAAGAAAGAAAGAAAGAAAGAAAGAAAGAAAGAAAGAAAGAAAGAAAGAAAGAAAGAAAGAAAGAAAGAAAGAAAGAAAGAAAGAAAGAAAGAAAGAAAGAAAGAAAGAAAGAAAGAAAGAAAGAAAGAAAGTGAGCGCTGCTCTTGGATCAGCTTTCGCCATTCAAATATGTCCTTAACATTAGAATTATTTCACAATACTGAAGACGGATCACCTCCTAGAGAGATATTACCACCTATGGCTGCAAATATTGAGGTGGCTTATTCTGACCCAATAAAAATGCCCTAAATCACCGATTTGGCACATCATTGTTCACGTTAGGCTACACATTATGAAATATATTGATACAAATTACAGACAATAGCCTACAAGTAGCAAAATAGAACTTAATTGATTGAATTTTTCAACATGACATGGGCCTATTAGACTACTGTTTATATTTTAATGCAGTCATAACGTATTTTTATACGTTGGTTGTTTGTATCAATTGCAAAGACATTGGCAACTTTGTAGCCTATTTGTAGTCAACGTTGTTCTGAAATTATCGGCGGTAACGGAGAGACGGATAGACCATGTGATTCCATGTTAAGCCGCATATAGCCTAAGTGACACACACTCTTAGAAAAATGGATAGAACAAAAAAGGGTTATATTGCTTGCTTCATTTATGGCACCCCTTAAGGTTCTACATAGAACCGAAATTGGTTCCATATAGAAGACTATATGAAACCCAAGGGTTCTATATGGAACCAATTTTGGTTCAGTGAAGAAGAACCCCTTGGGTTCTGATAAAATAACCCTACAAAGGGGGTCTGTATAGAACCTTTAGGGGTGCCATATTTGAAGCAAGCAATATAATCCTTTTTTGTTCTATGCAGAATATTTTTATCTAAGAGTGCAGTCGTTAGATTGTGTTTTTTTTCAATTGCAACGTTAATAACGATGATTTTGGGAAACCGCTCCGAGATTTAGTGATGCTCCTACAAAGTCCTAACGATTAATGTATCCTTAAGATGTTTTTTGGAAACCCGCCCCTGATTGAATCGGGCCTTTTAGCACAAATGTCGCGCAGTGCATTCTCCAATGCAGAGGGGAATTTAATGATTCGACTACAAAACGTGTTGAAAGTAATTTAATATTTACATAATTAACACGTTAAAACTTACATTTTGTCCAACAAGATACTGCAAGATTCTGAGACTTGCTGAAAACAGCTGGCAGATAACAAAAAATACACACTCCATAGGCTATTTTCTGCAACGCCTTGGTCGGGTCTGTGTGTCTCCAAGAAATGTCCCATGCTCTAAATAATCCCGTAATCTGGAAAGTTGTTTAGACTATCTACAAAGTGGAGGCTATATTCTAGGCTACGTCGTATAATGCATTTGTGTTTAGTCATACCTACATGTGAAATACTAGAATGATTCCAGGCGCACGTTCCCTAATGGCTGGCATGTGCCATTTCATCACACCATTTTGGACTGTATAAATACAGACTATGATCCGAAACGAAATAGTCATCAGGTGCAAAAGGAATATAAATAAATGCTGTATCCATGTTACTTTTGTCCTTATAAACTCGACGAAACTATAGTTTTAAATATTGTATATACCTAGCCTACAACTTGCATCGATAGTGCAAAACGTGCACTGTTGACTGGTGGCCCTATTCAAATGCGTCTCCTTATCCCAGATGGGAAAAAAATGAAAGAAGTTGCTTAAATACATTCAATCACCACATATATTTTTGTTAGACTTTTAATGATGAACTCATTCAAATATTCTATAACCTTAATTTACGCACACGCGCATTAGTAGCCTATGGCTATCCGGAATTTGGCATGACATTATCCCACAATGAAATTCGTTTCTCTCAATAGTTATAAAGTAAAAATCCCTCTTTTACAGAGGGATGCCGTTTAAGTTACCAGTGAGTGTTTTTCCTCATCAAATCGATTCAGGGAGCCGTTGTCAAATTTCATATCAATAAAACCTAACTCAATAAATCCATTATCCATTAAGTAATTAAATTAAATTAATAAAAGTTAGGCTATAGATATTCGCCACGGCGGATCCAGTAACAGGCCTATGGTTAGGCAACTGTTTTAGTCAATATCTCCTATACTTTTTCCGCATAAAAAAGTTAACATTAAATATAGGCTATAGCTTTTTGGTTAGAAAAAAAATGCTACATAATATCATCGGGTGGCCAACATAAATAACTGGTAAAATAAGAGTTAAACATTTCTTTAAAAGGGGGAGGAAAAAACTTTATTCTGTTCCAAAATGTCCTTTAATTTGGTGGAAAGGAAAAAATGTATCCACTGAACATAAAGAATTGAATCTATTGAATATTCATATTTAAGTAGCTTATTCGTTTGTAAATGGTAGCCTATAGTTTATTGTTATTTTACTTTGTCTTATCAAAGACGAATCCAGATGAAATGAGCATTCATTACAGCCAAATATTATCAGGTAACTATATAAAATAAAATAGTAGGGACAACTTATATGAAAACAATCATATTTAACTTTCACAGTTTAGTTACACAGTAATTACAATATTTCAAGCCATTCCAGATGTAAATGAACGATATTGATAGGCCTACATGTATTTGTTCAACTCTCTAATATTTATGAACTGCATTCAAAATTAGAAGCTAGACATGTATTTGCCAACATTTGTAGGCCTATATACATTTTGACCACGAGTATTCACATTCTATCAAAATGAAAACAAAAGTCAAATACAACATTAGCATAAGAAAAATCTTCTTCCCTTGGTAAAGGTTGGTTTTCTTCGAGCATTAAATGTCCTTGACGAAACAACAACATTAAATGTTCATCAGAGTTCTGCCCATCTAGCATCAAGTGCATTTGAGTCTTTAGGTAAGGGCATGTCTTTAGTTCTCTTAAACCATACGTGTAATATGGTTATTAAGTTAATATCTCATTGGAGTCAATTCGTTTGATAATATCGGTTAATTTTAGACGCATCTGAAAACATAATGTTTGGGCGTAAAACCACACCTATCTCCATGTCTTTACAGGTGAGAAGTGTAAAACGCAGGCGCTCCGTAAGTCTGAGATCCTAACATGAAAGGTGACAGTACCGCATGACTTGGCAGAAAAGGTAATTGGGTGGTGCAGACTAGCCCGCCTGGCCCGTGACCATAGCTCGTGTGCATTGACAGATGGCCGCTCATGGGAGGAGACGGGCTGAGCGGACTCAGGCCCCCTAGTCCATTGCTCTGGCCATTCGGGCCCCCGCCCGTCGGGGCGCTGGTGTCTGCGCCAGGGTTCTGTTTCTTCCACTTGGTCCGTCTGTTCTGGAACCAGATTTTGACTTGAGTTTCAGTCAAACTAAGTGACAGTGCCAAATTTAGCCTCTCACACACGGAGAGATAACGGGTGCACTTGAATTTGTTCTCCAGTGCAACAAGTTGTTCGTAAGTGAATGCTGTCCGGGCCCTTCGTGGCTTACCCGACTTTGAATCGGAGCCAGAGCGCTTTCTCTTCGGCTTTCCTTGATGACTTTGTCCATTCGACCCTGACTGTTGCGTTTGCTGTCCGTCAGGACTTCTTGGGCTCTTGCTCTCCTGGTCGTCGTCTTCATGGTGGCCCAGATCCCCCACGGCATTTCCAGTTAGGGCACTGCTGCTCTCCTCACCAAATAAGTCATCCTGCATCTCGCTGTCAGAGTGGGAGCCTCTGTTGAAATCATTCTCACATTCGTCCGATCTGTACACCAGCCCCTCCTCTGTAAAGGAAACAAGACATGCCATTGAGTATTTTCAAAGTAATAATCACAAAGTCCAAGTCATTTGGACAGACAATATTCAATACCTTGCCAAGTAGCATAGTGACTAGCCTAATGAACATATTGCTAAGGAAAATAGTGCTGAAGAATCATGCCAGCTAATGCGTAATGGATAACCTTTTCCTCTATCTATTCTCTCACCTTCATTAAAAATGTATTTATGAAGATAAATTGTTGTTTTTATTTCCACATTGTGCATTCATGTAGTCTAATGTTGTAGCGTAAGGATGTATTACAGTAGCCTATATGCTTAAATAATGCGCTGCATAAAAATGGAAAAGTTGCAAACATAATTCATGTTACCAATTTTATGTTAGACTATCAATTAAATAGTGAAAACCTGCTTGTGATATGGTCTACATTGACACCTTCAAGAAAAAGACTTGAGGCCTAATCATTTTGGAAAATCTTTACTATAATTGAGTATAGGCATGCTAAATATTCTAACATTATTATTATTTTTTTTTAAATCCATTTATGTTACATTATATTAGGCCTAAATTGTTCAATAAGGATAGGCATATTGTTTCTCAAACTTTTTAGATTCGTTTGGTTTGTTTTAAAATATGACCATTATACCCCATGACCAGGTGCAAGTTAAATAAACAAAATAGTCTTTCAATTATTTTCTGGAGTAGGCCTACCACACATCATTCAAGTGAGCCACTTTTACGCACACGCATCATCTTATTACAACAACAATAATTGTAATTGTTATAAGCAACCAAATATTTGCATTAGCCTACTTACTTTTGCATTATTTAAACAATACTTATACATCCAGGGGAATAATTATTCCATTAAGGCCTGCACATCTTCAGCATTGTTTGTTGACACAATGTTGGCAATTTGCTCAACCCTGTTAATGTGATCCTATGGGTTGGCTTCTGACGTTTAAGATATAGTTCCCTTTTGCAAACGGTTTTAATGTTTGTATTGGCAGCATAAACAATATCTCACTAATCCACATCATACGTCTTCATGTTCATCTATTTAGATATAATCTTAAGAATAATGTTTTTTTGGTTTGTTAGTTTGTCTATTGAAGGCAGTCCATAACAAATCACCCGGACAACATGGTTGGTAACGCAGTGTCCTCTTCTCTGACTGTTAGGTTATATTTAAATGCAAACCCTATGAAGTGGTTACGGAGATCAATGTTTGTTCCTTCTATTTTCATTTTAAAAAATGACAGTGGGGGCAATATTTGTGTTTATCTTATATCAGCAGAGACAATATCAATCTCGTGTCTCTTTTCTGGGATCAATATCTACCCTAATAATAATAATAATCGGTTTTAATCGTGTAATTATCCGAATTTTGACACTATAATTAAGATGTTGGAGGAAAGTCAGGCAAGCTGCCTGAAAGAGATAGGCGACTCAATTCGATAATAGGATATCGAACTAGCCGTGTTCCGCATGTCACTCTGGGGCAATTTTCCCCATTATCCTGCATCTTTAACCTCGCAAAGCACTTTAAATTAAATGTAATCGAATGGTTAAAAAATATATATATATATTTTGATATTACAAGCATTTCTTCTCTGGGGTAGCCTAAGGGAATGTGTGCGTGGTAGAATATTCCATAGCTAACCTTACTTAACCTCAGATATTATCATATTTATTTCTGAATCCAAATATATTTGAGCATAAATAGTTACATAATATAGAACGCAAAGTTAGATTTGGAAAATACAACTTTATTAACTCCTTGATCTAAAACAACTTGCAGGTCCCTCTAACCTCAAAGACATAGGCTAACCTAATAAGACAACCACTCATCAAGTTCTCTGTCTTGTTATGATCAACACAAAGAGGCTAAAACGTGGTTTTACAAATAGGTGACGTTATATAGCCTAAGTAATTGAGCATCTTCCTGAAGCATAACATGTCAGATAACAAAATGTACATTATATGTCTAATCTCAATTTGATTTTTCAGAGACATGTAGGCTATTCAAGTAGACCTACATCATAAACAACAATACTTTTGGAAAACCAAATATCACCAAGAAAGACACAAACACTTACTTAGTCCTGTAGATTTTTTACATTCATAGTCTTCTGCATAAGATTTCTGATCTACAGCATGATTCGAGTCGTCACCTCCACGGTTCTCTGTCCCGAAGGCGAATTCACTGCCTGTTCGGTTAGGATTTTGCTTTTTGCTCGTAAACTTATTTGGGTCCAAAATGTCCAAAACAGAAAACGCGGTGGTCCGGTGAACGGTTGGCATTGCTATCGGAGCCGGTTCTTGGCGTGGAGAGTTGTTTCGACTGTCCCCTTGCAGTATGTCTCTACCGGCGGGACAGGAAAACACCGACAGTTCGTTGGCAGAGAGCCGCTTCTCGCTGTGATTGTCCATGCTTTCTGGAGCGGCCACGACGATCACCGCTGTTTGGGCAGCCACACCCGACGCCGGCGGAGAAGCGATTGAGAGATCTCCCAGCTGAACCTTCTCTCTATTCATGACTTCTCTTCAGGCGGAAGAGCACGTTCTCTTCTTTTGAACTATCAAAGGTTTAGCACCAAGACAGTAAATTTAAGCTTCTCTTACAACCGTTGACATAATAGCGCATGCAATTTGAGAAAAGTAGACTAATATCTGGTGCAGTATTCCTGCACAGCTTGCGTTGCCACCCCTCTACGGCTGCACTGCTCTGGTCAATGTAACACACCGCTGGTAGGAGGTGATGATTCACTGTTGGATGTTCGTCTCCCTTGTGCAACTCCTTTTTTGGATTTGAACCATCCCCTCAGGACCCGCCAATGTTTATGTCATGCACGCACACCTCGCTCGCTCTCGCATCCCCTCCCACCCTCGTTCGTCACCAAAACTTAGACACAAGCTACGCATTATTTATGCATTCATATTCAACTGTGGGTTGTAATTGGCTACAAATTAATCCCATGCCTCTAATAGCCTATTATCTCCGTCTGCGCGCGTGAGAGGCAACAGAGGCGCACGGGGAGTGAGGGATGATGCGGTTCGTGATATACTCAGCTGTCAGCTCAGTTTCAACTCCACTGAACTGGAAAGGGTCTAAATAGGCTTATTTTTCCTTTCTTCCTCGCCTATATGGACCACTTTGTGGTTGTGATACTTGTTGTTTTATTAAGTATTTACAAGATCATAAGGCCATGATCTAACTTTTTCTCAGTATTCAGTGATCCAACGCAAATTAAGGTTTTCAGTCTAAAATCTGTAAAAAATCAAAGTCTAGGGAAGGCTATTATTATTATTATTAATAGACTTATTGTTCATTTTTTTGTAGGCTACCCATTCAAACATTAGCCTAAACTCAATGCATTCGCTTGATAAAGTTCAGATGAGAGAGATTCGTTATCTTTAAGGGAAATTACAGGGCACTTTACAAAATTCAATTATGCATTGAATAAACTCAGTAATACCCCTTTCAGTGAAATATTGATTTCTAATCTGAGATGTAATTATTATGCCAGAAAAATAATAGACCAAATAATTTGATTTTGATTTAAAATACGTGTTTATTCTGATCTTGACCTTAATATTCTACTTACTCTCATTTTATGCACTCCTTAAAACAGTAGGCTATGACACTATCGTAAAGAGAGAAAAAAGAAAAAGAGGTGTGCCAAGCCTAACAAAATTGGATTTCACTCGTCTGGGGCCTGATGACACATACAAGGTCAGTTCTTTGCAATTACTGCAGGCAATGATCCTTTGGGAAGTAGAAATTAAATGTTGGGGGAAAATAATGGGTAAAACAATCAGCTGTAATTTTGGTAGGAATGAACATGATTATCATATCAAGAGGGCAAGCCCAGGCCAGGGGAGCTGGCTGGGAACCAGCCCTTCTCTCCACTCCACTACAGGAGGCTGACTGACTGCTGCTGCAGAAGGCCAAGCTGTAATTAAACAGCTATTAGATGTTCATCTGGTCTATGCTGTGTCCGAACAGTGGTTTGAAGAACAGTTCTTTGAGGTTCTTTATGTTTTCGAAGTCTATGACTAAATATGGTCATACTTGCCTTATAAGCTAGGACCAAACACATCATTGGCTAGTAGTCTATTTGCTGGATGAATATAGGACAACTGATATAGATTTTGATGTTACTTTTTCTCCCCAAAGTGTGATGATAGCCTACAAAAAAACGTTTCTCCCTGATATCGCTTTACATTTGCTAATAATGATGATGATAACATAGGCTAATAATAAACAACAATAACCTAATAATTAGCAGAATCATCATCATATTGAAATATTTGAAAGCCTTTCTTCCCTGTTTGAGCTAAGATACTGCCGCCACAATGCTGCCACCTCGAGATAACCCAGATCACCTTCGCCAATGGCACACAAGACACCACTGATATCGAACAACATGTACAATATTCGTTATAACTTTTAATATTTTGTCACTGATTTTATCCTAAAACAGAACACCTATTTTCGTATTCCCATGTAGACCTACTATGACACGCATTCATATTTCCCTGTGGTCCAACCTCTTGACCTGAACGTACACAATTAATTATACTGCAGCATCCACAGGTCCTGCTATCCCGTCGAACAGATTGGGGGGAGGTGGTGCCATAATTACAATTTCCACGTTGCCTCAGAGTCCATTCTCCACATTTAGACGTATACCGCTCGATAATTAGCATGTAAATAGTGTCTTTCAAGACCATCTTTTGCAACAGCCCACGAGCTCGTACACTTCACGGAAGGCAGGCTCGCGCCCCTGTTCTTCCACTGAACTTTGAAAGGGCCCCGTAAATTACCGACAGTGACCTGTCAATTATCCGTGCATTAATCACTGAAGTTAAATCTCATGATAACAGCCTCTCTCTTCTTCAACAGCAAAATTACTCATCTGTCAACATGAAAAACCAGTCTGGCCCTTCCACAGACACTCCGACCCCCTCAATGTTACAATAACAGCTGAATAAATAGGGTCAAATGCACCAGGCTCTTCCATCTATGAAAGTCCATGGCAAAATGTTCAGGTCCAGGTCAGGATCTGGGTTTAGTAAGGAACATCAATTTACATCTGATTATACCAAACTGAATGAGTTGAGCAGATTTAACCATGTAAATCTGTATTCCATATCAGATAAAAGTACTCTGACTCCCCCACTAAGCATCATTCAAAAGGTTAAAGACTCCACATAATGATAGAATACACAGACTTGTATGAGCAGTATTTCGAATTATATACCCTTGGTAAGATGGTTAAACCCATGTTTTACCATCTGAATAAATAAAAATACAAAAATCAGACACTGAAAAAAATATGGTCAACACCCAATCAGCATCCAATACCAAACATGAGACGGCCAATCCTGAGAGCGGCCCAGGCTCCCAGTGAGAGATATGGCATGGCAGTGAGAAAGAGACTGGCATGGGTACCTGCGAGATGGCATGGTAGGGAGAGAGACTGGCATGGCTCCCTGTGAGAGATGGTATGATAGTGAGAGAGCACTGCGACTCCAAGTTGTGTCAGGTACACTAGAAGATTTAAATCACCATGGAGGGGGAGAGAATCTCACTCAGTAATGATCTTAATTAAGGTTAATGAGCTCTGCTCTGCCTCTAGATTATTCAATTAATCTGATTATATGAATGAATCATAATTAGGATAATTAGAAACTTAAACATTTCTTGCAGATGAAACAGTTTCTTGCTACATAGGACCCAGAATAATTATAGTGCGTATGTTTATATCACCAAATCTTGCTGTTAACATTTTCAAGTGGACTTCAGACAATACTGTAGCCTTCCCTCACTTACTCTGTTAAAGGTAATAATAGTAACAACAACAACAGTTCTTCACTATAATATCAAAGACTGGGGGCTACATTAAATCAATTCTGGCAACCGAGTGTTTCTGGCAAACTAATGCAAAACCAGATTTCGTCTGCCGTTAGCGTCATAGCGTCCAATGGGGGTTTTCGTCTAGCTATGAAATAAGTTCTAACTCTGGCTTGTGATAAAGCTGTAAATGAGTGGATGACAGTCTGGCTTTCTTATGTGAGCTGACCCTGATGTCAGCATACAAGCAGCTGTTTATTGAAATAAATTCCAGCCAGTCAGGTACATGTACCTAGCTAACGAGCCATTGCATCTAGGGGCATACTGGGACCAGAAATCGCCCTGGCGTTTCTAACACACCGGCCCATTTGTTTTCCTTGAGGCCCCCACATCGGCTAATTTCTTTCCTTGAGGCGCCCATTATTAGCCAGATATTGATAATTCTGCGCTACAAACCCAAGTTAGACAGGCCCACTGGGCAAAAAAGCGACCAGCCCATCTGGCATTTCCTACTGAAACTAGCTTAAATGCAGCTTCCCTGTTGGATTCTGTTAGAACAATCAGAAAATATAAATGTTGGAAAAGTACTAGTGAACCACCTCACAACAGTCATAATATGTCACCAGGGTTGGTGCGTCCAGCAGCTAACCTAAAAAATTGATATACAGTGACCATTTGATTTGTGCAAGAACATTACGCTACAGTAGAAAGGTTCTGTGCATACACTTAATTAATATGTAACATGAATCCAAACAGCGCAAGTTGAACATTGTTTTTGACTTATCCCGGAAACCTGGCTTCAGGGTTTGATTGAATAGGACTCTGGGTCCCTTATTGTGCAAATACACTACATAAAAAGCAACTCAAAACACTATGTCTGATTTCTGGTACATTTTCTGTAGAGACATATAGTTCTAGGGAGGGGTGTTTGAGGGGGTCATCCACGACTGTGAACAGCACGGCAGCAGTTTAACGATTTTAAATGAGCTCTTGAGTGGTAAAAACTGGACAATTCCCCATTACGATGGCACATGACAGTTAAAATGACCAGAAATCAATATTCTGACCAGGTGTCTCACACTGATAAGACCGACCAAGACAATGTTGACTATTAAACTTGACAGCTTGAGATATTACACTATTAGTTATGCTATTTTTAATAATCTATAATATTTGGGCTATAATTAATTAATTATACGGGTCAGATAGTATCTGAGGCTGGGATGAGGTCGGAGGGGTCTATTAAGGCTGGTAATGAGAAAGGAGAAATCTAATCTAAGGACGAGGAGCCGTGAAGGAACAAATATACAACCACCTCCCTCCCTCGGATACAGAGGAGAGAGGGAGAGGAGGGAAGGAGAGAAATGAGGGGGAGAAAGAGGTACATGGGCAGAAACAGGGAGCAAACAATATAAAGGGAAATGACCAGTAAGACCAGTAAGATGAAGGAAAGCATGCATATATAATAACATTTTAAACATTTTTCATGAATGGAGCCAAAGCCTCTTTTAGATTTCAGGGGGAACAAAGAGAGATCATCCGAAATAAAGGAGCAGCAGAATGCCACAGCTTTGTATTTTGATGTACTACTAAGCCAATCATGGATAACATACACTAGATAATGCTATATGCTATAGAAACACTGCTTTTCTCACAGACAGACAAGTTAAACGTTGAA